CGTGGACGGACCGACCCGGAAAGCGCCTCGGCCGCCGTATCCACGCAACTGTGAAACCGACCGTAGTCGAGCTCGGTGACGGCGCAATACTGCGCTCTTYTACACTCCAGATTGCAATCCTTAGGTTTGAACTGCCGCACCGAGTTGGCCTCTATGTACCTGCGAACACATCCGATTTCGTCACATGAATTTTTCGTATAAAACAGTAATTATATTACATAATATTATTAATATTTTAATATTATTTTATCGTGTTCAACGTGTTCCTTGTCTGCGTCGCGTCAAGGTGTAGACCTTGAAATCATGGGTAGAGCTTATGGTTTTTTTTTTTTTTATCACCAATGGCTAATCATTATTAGGTCAGAGTAAAAGCAAAACACCGACGGTGAAATATAAAGTTTGACCTTTTCTTTGCAGTGCGACGGGTCTTAATTCAATCACTAGCTGCTGCAGCTGCCCGAGGATAAAAATAATACAAAATATTAAATTATCGTAACCAAACACGGCGAAAATTGGGTGATTTCGGAGAGGTTTTTGATATATTTGGGAGGTAAAAAAAAAACTACACTGCCGAACGTTTAGTTTTCTCGATTTTTTTCAATAAATATTTCGGCAATTCTGTCAATAATGACGTATCGCAACTACGTAACAGAAACGATCGCACTATCAAGGAAGACAAAATTGTTAGTGGTCACTGGTGCGGACCACACTTCGCGTTTAACTCGTGATGGTGATAGTGGTATAATAATTGAGTTTCTCTGTAAAAAAAAAACAAGATAATTCCTTTTAAGGTTAGGTGTATAAATAGGTAGTAGCATTGTAGCAGTGTTCACTTTTTACCCGTCATGGTTCAATGACAAAATATATTTTAGGAAACAATTATTTTCCTCTCATAATCGTCCAATAAAGTAATTGTGTGATTTAAGATAAATCACATTTTTTTATCACGTTCACGCTCAATAATGTTGTAAGAATTGACTAACTCGTCATTATCGATTTCCGGACAACAATAATACGTCGTGTCTATCGTATACATATACTATTTAAAATGACTTTTTTAAGAAACTGAATATATAAAAATATATAATTGGGTGCAATTTTTAAAAATAACATGAATATAAAATATTAATTAACATATTATACTAGGCTGAAATATGATATAACTAAGCTGAAATTTAGTATTTAATGTTAAGTAATGGGTAATGGGGAGAAAAGCCATCCAGAATTTTTCATACAACAATTTTGTGCTTGGAACGAAGTTTTATCGAACTGTTACATTAAAATTTACCATTCAAGTATTGCGTATAATTAATGCGGTATGATCAAATTGAAAAGTGAGTGATTGTTTACTTTAACAATCAAATGCAGATTATAGACTGACGTCAAACAATTTACGGAAAAGTAGTTTATGGATCAATTCGTAAGGTCATTCGAGCATAAAATAATTCAAACAACTAATATACGATTTAATTGGGAAAATAAATTGAATTGAGTGTCGAGGGGTAAATATTATAGAACTAAATATATATATTGTAGTCTTTAAAAGACGATTGTGATCGGAGCTCATGAAAGCTGGTATTGCTGACACATTTAAAAAATTTAAATTTAACATTATCAATGTTTATGATATACCTACTCGATTTCCGAACTTTTTTAAATAGCTACACGAAGTTTTTCGAGCACTCTTCAGACCCGAATAATAGTTCACACACAACAAAAGGCGATAATACCGGAGATGAAAAAAAAACATAAAAACATTGGTAAAAACGATAAGAAATCACTTATAGTGAGCGTCGTTCTGGGATTTTTTAAGAGATTATTTCTATAAAATAATATTGCATCGACACTGGTAAATTTTCGTAGATTTTTTTTTCGAAATAGACAGTATTATATTATTCAACCCATTCATTAATCACCTTCCTTAATAGCAATAAAATAATTATGGCCTAACAGGGAAAATTAAGATATTCATGCACAACAAAGTAAATGGGTCCAGCTAGCTAGATAGGTTTTCCGTTTTTTCGCACATGACACAGACAATAGGATCTCGAGAGTGTCTGCAGGAGTCGAGTATTTCGTTCGGGATGATTCAATAGAGAGAGTATACTCCATATTATTATATTGTTATTAAAATATTATGCTACACGCTACCGATTGCACTAGTTTATCGTAGGTGTGTCGTGCTTAATTATTATCAGTATTATTAAGTATTTGAATCACAGTAGATGAGTCTATTGTTATTCAAATTCTTTTCCAATTTTTAAAAATATTATCTATTAATAAGTATAATTTTAGTGAATTTAAAACAATAACACTGTATTGTATAATACAATATCAATGTGTTGAATTAAATTATACTTTCATTTACATTATTTTAGTCAATTTTATCCTTTTTTGAATTTAAAATATTTGGAACTGTTGTAAAAATAAACGACCACAGCTTAAATGTCATATTTTTGAAGAACATGCTATTAATAATAATATGACCGATAATAATTTTGAACTGAACATTTTTTTATAACGTAACAAAAAAAGCTATAGGTTAGGTTAGTTACATAACTAATAGGTCCTTAGTCAATTATGGGCAATAACTAATAAATTAAATGTATATTAAATAGCATAAAACTTTTATCTATGAAATATGAATTTGTATATTAAAATTAAATTAATTAATAGTAATACTATCGGTTATTGTCTATAATCAATATGAATAGATATAAGTATATATATTATTGTTATTTAATAAATTATATAGGTTATATCAACATAAAAGTTTCTATCAATCACTCAAATGACCAGGTCATCTCCGCGGGGAGTGATAATTCTAACATGTTTTGTAAACATTTGCAGCAAATTATTTATTTATTTAAGATGTTTTTATTTTTTGTGTATTGTTAAAGATTATAGGTCGTTATAATAAAAAATTCCTTGGATGGTTTATATAAAAATGAACTATTATAACCTACTATTGTCTGAATATTTAAACAATTTGTCAAGTCTGTCAAAATCCTTAAACAAAACTTTTACTGATTGATGAAATTGGTAAATTCACTATACAAAAAGCCGCGATGTTTAAAATTATATAACTTCTTAATTGACAAATAAAAAGTATTTGAATAATACTAAGATATGAAAAAAAAAATTGTATTACAACACTGATTATTGATTATTAATATTGCGCAAACATAAAGCGTCCTCGATGAACAGACAAATGATATGGAATCGACAAAACATAAAAGTTTTATAATATCACACCGTACTCGATGACAGTAGGTTGAGTAAATAGCAGGTCAGGTCATGAAGAACAACATTTACTCCACAATAATTCTAAGTCCCTGAGATGTTAATATTCGTGTCATAGGACCACAGAAGTGGACGTGTTTTAAATTATAAACATTTTTAAATAATATTCTGTCGTATGTCGAAAGAGAATCATCTACCTCATTCTAGTTTATTCGTGAATTTTAGAGCATAGACCTATAAATAAATGAACTGATAATAGGGAGAGATCTAAGGACAAACATTGATAGAAAAAGATATCATATTCGTAAACTTTAAGTTGTCAGTTCTCATTAAATTAAACTAGCACACATTGAGTTGGTGATATTAATTTTTCAAAATAAAATATGTAAAGTAAAAACAAGTCCATGAGAAGTTTGAATTACTGCAGTTAAGTTCCATATATAATTTTAAAATAAATATAAATTTGTAGCAGATATTATCAATTGACTATGGTTTGAAAATAACAATATACCAAGTAAATGTTGTAATCATACTGCAATAATTCTACTTCATTATTTTTTTTATTGATAAATAACTGCCTCGGTGACTGGGTCATTAGCTATATTAAATAGTTACACGATTAAATTTATATCTATATAATAGTAAAAAAATTTTAAAACTGAAAAAGAAATCGACTTTAATATTTTAGTTATAATATACATTCTAGATTTATAATAATTAATATAATATTTTAAATTGTATTAAAGAGTTTTGTTTTCTTGAGGAATTTGAACACTTGAGTTGTCCCGGAGGTTAGATTTTCTGATAAATTGTGCGTATTTATTTATTATATTATAATTTTATAAGTTTATTAAATCAAGTAAATAAAATATTTTTTACATCTAGTGATTACGTCTTTGGAAATTTATAAAAGGTAACTAAATTCGTGGTATAAATATTGTTAAACTTATAGATGATCCATTTTACTATAATATTGATTTTATTATACACAAATATGTGTTGAAATAAGAATAGTTTTTGGATTAACATACGAAAACGGATAATAATTAAAAAAATATATATTGTAATCCAACTACCCTATATTATTATAAATTTTAAATAGGAATGAGGAATTTTTTTTCACTGAGGTAATCTGCAGTCATTATTAACTGTCGAAAAAATATATCCAAACAGAATCACTGGTTACCAAATTATATCGGAATTATGCGTGATTGATCTTACAACATACACTGCGGACGTTCTATGCCAAACCACCAGCCACAGCGGATAACAATTCGTATTTTTCTTTTTTAAGTGCTCCTAAAAGATATATTAATAGAGTGCACAAGGCTCTAGGGTAATTCTTAAATCTGAGAAAGTGGACGCCGCTGTCCCAAGGGTTGGTGATAAAAAAAAAAAAATGAATAAGACGAAAGTTTCTCGGATGAAAACCATGTATATATCCTACTTAGAGATGTTTGTGTTGAACATTTTTTGTCAGAAAAACTAAAGACGGAGAGACTGGATGTAGAAAGAAAAACGAAGCAGTAGTAATAAGCGTTCCGTACTTACGAGTCGTGAACCATCGGTGACGTGAGTGAAGGGGACAAGAATGGCAAAAGTGGAGCAGCCAGTAGTAAGGTGGATTATTTTGAATTTTTTTTTTTGTTTGTTTCAGAATCATAAACAATAACTGAATCTTCAAACCCACAAAGTCGTTTTCATAAACAACGTTGAAGCAAACTTATGCTGTCCGAAGCTTCTTAGCGTCTTTTGGTTTTTGATTACTTTGTTTTTTGTTGAAACTATATATATATTTATATTGAATTACGAATATCCTCTGTTGTCTTTTGATACTTGTTTTTTTTTTTTTTTATAGCGGTACAATATTGTAGTCACATAACACGAACGATAACTCTTCAGTATTTCACCTTTTTGGGGGCTTATATTACATTCAAAGTAGGCGCAAACGGCGCTTTGATTCATTATTCTCATTCTGGATGCAATTTTATAGATACATGTTTAGAAAAACACTCATAGATTTTTCAATTTCTAGTCGGTTTTTTTTTTTATCACTATTTTACACCCACTTCATATATATGCATATACTATTATGTATATGCATTATAAAAAGCACAAATGATGAGGTAAGTGTGTTATATGGTATAGGTATATTATACGTTATTACGTACCATATCTATAATAACATATCGTAAGAAACCTCGTTCACGACTTTATTGTGTCAAGATTTTCAGTTTAAGTAGGTCAACTATGCAATTTAAAATTAAATTCGCCATCCCACAGGGTAAGAAAGTTAATCGTTACGACACTATACAATATATATTATACGTAGATTGTTGAAACTTTCGTGCACATTGTCTGTATCTTTCGACGATATATTACAAAAGGAAAACGAAAGCACCTACTCATCGGTATAACGCGCTCGCTTTGATGTAACATTATACAGCAAATAAATATTTTAATATTTCGATGAGTACTTTCAAACATATCTATAACGTATTACATTAGTATGGCTGAGAAGACTGAAGTTATTTTTTGCTCACTTTAGCAAGAATATAGGAAATATTTCAATCTAATCATTTTTTAAGCTAAATTCGGCTGTATATTGGTCATGAAATTTTGTACAGCTGCAAGGTTATTATACTCATATTGATTGGGTTTCCGAGAGAGTAAAACATACAAAATAAATATATGGCGAGACGGTATTCTGCAATGGGAGTTTGAATTTATCGTATATAAATGTCAATCATTTTCCAATAATGAATCTTACGTGTTATTATTCATTTTTTTCCCACAGTGGTTTGTCGGTTGCATTATTTTTATTTTATTATAACGCCATTCAGTGTGCAAAATTCATTAAAACGCGTTTTGTGAAATAGAAAAGATTAAATTTGTCTCTCAACACTTACGACAAAGATAAAAATGAAGAATTTTATTTTAACAAAAGATTTTTATAAATAAAGAAGACAGACGTAGAGACAGCAATAAACTGGCTTCCGTTTTAATGGGATATACACTTATTCATATACACTCTCATTTATTTCGATATAATATCTTAATATAATAATGCCATTATTGTACGAAAACCCTGCAAGAGCTTTCTTTTTGTTTTATTATAGTGCCTATAGAATATTGTACACRACGACGCAGTTTCACAATTATTATGTGATGTGAATTTCGTATTCACTTACGAGTAGGTTTATTTAGATATGCGATTAGACCTGTATAAATTAGAAATTAGAGCAGAACACAAAAACATTGAAAAATATAAAATTGCACACGTTAGTAAAACCAGCAGTATTTTTACAGTTCGTTTCAAATAGGAATTCAAAAGTCAATAAAAATGAAAATAAAGCTATTTCTTCGTCAGCGTATATTATTATGAAGGATGCTACAAAAGCCAAGATAGAGATATTTTATTCGTGTTTGGAGTTTTTTGTGAGCGTATAATCACATAACTCTTTCAGACCGTACATTTTTTTTTTTACAAAATCATATAGGAAATGTTAGTATTTATCTTTTTTCTTCGGAACTAGCTGCACGATAAAAACTTTTGAGTACTATCAAACAATTTGTTTGATTTAAATTTTTAAATTTTTTTTTTGGTTAAGATATWTAGTAGAAAGATATGTACGAGTATATTTGCAATAAAGTAGTAAGATATGCGATCAATATCCTTTATTACGTCTCTAGTGGTAAATAATAGTGACTATATATTTTGGTGCTGGTCGCAATGATCTCGATTCATACTCAGTTCCACAAGGTTTTCATATTTCACTATTTCAGCCGTAGGTAATAATGTTATGGACAGTTACGGGCGTATKATGAATGATTAGTAACCTAGTAGAATATTATGCATTGCAATTTTAGACCGAATGTTGGTCGAATGCCAACGGTTATTATGTAGGAACATATTTTGGCAGATTCAATAAATTTATGCGATATTGCAGGTATATAGAGTCGTGTAATCGAATAGTTCAATTATGTATAATGCAGTCCACGTAAATTGACAATCGGCTACAATAGATTATAATAATAATGTGAGATCATTTTTGTTTATATCGTTAAATAGTWGATACCACGGATTATATACTGTATAACGATATAATAATGATAATAATTAATAGTAGTAATAATAATAATATTGTATGCGTGATGCGTCCTGGTGTTCAAAATCAAATGAATTTTTTTTTTGCCCTGAGTGGAGAGAAATGGCAATTGTTAATATTCTAAAAATAAAATGTTGAGAGGCGATGACATTGAACATTTTTAATAAAATATCGCTACAACTAGAATTCAGAAATCTTCCATTTATGACGAACAATGAGTATAATAATTGGTTACAGGTATTCAGGGTGTTAAAAAAGTTTTGCAATTGTCATTAGACTAATATTATTTTTAAATAATTAGACTGATAAACGTTTATAACATGATACAGGATAAAATATTTTCCCTATAAATTTACAGCAGTGTTATCTGTTATTCATATACATAGGTATACAAATAATATGCAAACAGTAATTAAATCAATTTAAAATTGTTTTGAACGCATTTTATAATGTTACATATTTGGAATAAAGCAAAAAACTAAATTTGCATGGCCTGCAGATAAGTGAAAAAAGTTTTTCAAACAGAAAATTGACTGTAAAATTATTTGAATTCTTAAAAAAAATGAAACATAATATTATATATTTTATATATATACATTGCTTAATATTGATCATTTATTTCGGTCGAGTRCACAATGTACATATTCGCTTAACTTAAAGGGTTGAAGTATTTTTTGTTATCCCCACACGTGTAGTTGCTATTGTTGAAGCGGCGTATATTATGTATAAAAAAATATAAAGTGGTGAAAAAACCGATTAAAAAAAAAACTTTGTGCGTTTGTTTATTTTTATCACAAATTTYATCCAGTGACATCTGAGGAACGTGGTAGGTTGATAAAAATATGCACACAAATGAATGACGATAGCACGTGTCCTTACAATACACAMGAGTATACGCATACACAAAACTTTAGATGATAATAATACTGGTGATATCGTTTTTTTATGATATTGTATTCGTATTGAAAATATGTTTCGAACAAACACAMACACWGCAATTTTCGGAATAAATGTATACTGGYGCTGTGGATGCATCATGTTATAATTATCGGATCGAAATTTCAATCGATTATTTTTGTAAAAAAATACCACACCGATTGCAACATCGGTAGATTTTTCGTGTATTTAACATTGCACCATGTAGATATTATGCAGGATATGACGTGTACAGGTTATTTTAATTTATCTAGGTCAATGRTCTATATAACTTTAAGGCGATGAGCAGTGCTTGTGGTAAACTCATAGTGATTACAACAACGATCGTGATATATATATTTTTTTTTTGAGGGGGAGGGTGAGAAACGGGTGTATAATAAGAATTCCCTGAAGAAAAAAATAAGATGTGTTGGGGTGGATATAATTGATTACCTGCATGTAATATATTATTATGATTAATCGTTATGAGCAAAACGTGTACTAACTGAAAATCGAGCTGGAAATAATAACCTTTTACTGTTTGTCGTTTAATTACTTATATACRATACACGTTATGAAATACAGCGGTGGTTGCGTTTGATTATAAATTATATATTGATGATATTATGATGTACCTGTCGAACTGCGCCGAATCGTCGTCCTGGAACGTTTCGGCAATCGCGTGCAGAGACCTTGGCGTGATTTCGTGTAGTCCGTAGTAGTGTGTCAGGTTGTACTCGATCCTCCAGTCGTCCGGATCGCCGTTGGGCGACGACTCCAGATCGATGTAGTATTGCGTGTAGTCTATAATCTGAATTAAAAACCGTCCGTATTATTATGTAATAAACTCTCATAATTTTAGTGTATCCCGAAAATGCATATCAATGGCGTAAGATGGACATTGCTAAGTCTGAAGTACCAAGTCGTCTAATGAAACGTAATTATAATGACGCACGTAATCGTATAATACGAAATGCCTAACAATATTACACGCAGGGGGATAATATTCCTCAATCGTGTTCACTCAAAATTCAAATTCAAACTTAAACCATGATCCCACAAAAGCGGCGCCCCGTTGTGAAACTGACTTATTTTTTCCAAAAACCCCCATTTGTTACTGTCAATTTTTTAGCGCTAACAACGTTAATGTATACGAATTTAAGATGCACAGAATATGGTTATAAGAAGATTATAGTTACTAATATTAATTTAGTGAAAAAAAGTTCTCATCACCACATGAGACTTCCTAAGCAGTTTAAATAAAAAGCCTATAAATATTTAGTATAATATACAGCTGTTTTAACGCAAACTTCAAAATTCTAAACATCAGTGATAAATAATAACTAAAGGCGAATAGTCCAGTCGTATACACTGAGAATACTTAGCGAATTATCTCGTACTATCTAATATGTATATCTGGTTACGTAATTCGAAACATAGATCGTGGGTTTAAAATTCAAAAAAATTGAAAAATTATGATTTTCATTACTATAATTTTGTCGAAAAAAAAACGTGAACAGTGACCCAAATGTTGAGCTCAGTATGAAAACCAAAAATCAGCCCAACCGAATCGATATGACAGCCACTATGTATTTTTGGATGTACTTGGTGTATACTTACGTGGCCCGAATTCGTGTTGAATTTGTACAATCTCAAGCCAGGATTGTTGGACACGCCGGGAGACTTGTTGGGCGTCAATGACGGCGCGACCATCATCCACGACACGGGTTTTTCTGCAACACAAATTGTGAGAATGTAATCGGTTAAASTCCGTTTCAAATGAGAAGAAAAAATAATATAACAGACAAACAATAAACATGATATGGACGATATACGCCTGTTGTACGTAACCACACCAATTGTTAGGCCAACGAATATAGCTTAAGTTAGTTTTGTCCACGGGCATCATATATACGTAAAACTTAACGCGCGGTCGTTGCACAAGACGTACAAAAATATGTTTGGAAATATTCATGACAAATGTGTTATTAGTATAATATTACATCATGTGACAACGACTAATAAATAATAATTATAATAATAAAATAAAATTAGACATTAAAATATAGATAGTGATGTATGTTGCCACAGTCTCACGTAAAATGAAAAGCATAAAATTTTTGATTAGCCGTCGGTTTCTTATTATCAGTTAAACACACAAACATGTATTCACGTTAAAATACGTTTGAAAGAAAGCATGATATTTCACATCACGTAATCTGTCCAGAAATTCGAGAACAAAAATCAAACTTTTATATTTTCTTTAAAATGTAGATTTAATTTAGTATTTTAAATGTCCACTTTCCGAAGATTTTTATATTTCACACTGAAATCTTGTGCATTAGGATTTTTAATGAATGACTATTACTCATAAGCTGAGTAAGTACTAGAATTTGKAATAATATTTTCGTGCAAATTATTGTAATATAATTTTTTTTTTTTTACTTTGTACTATACAAAATACAATAATATGGCTGTTTTTTTATTGAATTTATCATATTTTGAGTATTATAAATAATATATATATATTTATAGTAGTAAAAGATAATATTTATCAAGTTATTAACAAGTAATATTACTTTTTCTACTTTAAAACTATACATAATCAGAGATTTTAAAATTTTAAAATCAATTATGAAACATACCACTAAATTAAAAAAAAWAATAATAATAATAATAAGACTTGAAAGGTAYAAACRAAAGTCGGTGATTCAGTAAAAATAATAAATTTGAAAAATGAATAATTTTTAAAATTGTGTAGACAAACTTACTGTACGCATACAACACGACTAAAGCATCCGACAATCAGCTACTACGTGTACCACCGAAACAATAAAACGTTAACCAAAATACGTCGATTAAAGTTGTTAATTGACAGTTAATTCGGTTGGTGTGATATAAAGGAAAATATTAAACTTTTTTTGTATTGTTTTTTGGCGAGTATTAAAATTATATATTTATTATAATATTTGTTTTTGAGTCCTGTTATGTTTTTTATGTTAGCTAGTAGGTTAAAAATTACCTGAACAATAAAATTCTTTTATAAAAGTCAAAAACCATAAAAAATACAAACAATTGACATAATAATGTCCGTTATTATAATACTGTGTACCAATTTAAATACTTGAATCACATTTGTAGTTTGAAAATCATGGWGTCAAGTATTTAAATAAAAAAGCGGGTAAGTCATAGATGTCGCTCTGCTGTACAATAGGTTRCAAGTGGGTTACTGTAATGGATGGAATTAAATTTGAAACCAATGATATTATAAAAAAAAAAAACACACACACACACACATGGTAAAATCAATACATTCCTCGCACCATTCAGAATCTAAAATGAAAAATTGAAATCCAAGTCATAATTACCATTATTATGATACAYATTTTATACCATTTTAATAGTTTTAACAACTCCGGACCTTAAAVACGTTTATACTATTTATACAGGTTAAAAATGTATTTAGTATCCATATATTAAGGCTTCAAAACTATTGATTAAGAATTTAATAATGCATAAATTAGTAAACATATAGTAAGTAGACTAGAATTCATATAAGAGCGTATAATCATAATAAAAATATTTTAAAATGGTCAACATAAAATAGGTTCGTTATAAAAACATATTGACAATATTAAATATTAATATGAGATTAATACAGTTTAATAGTTCAAAATATATCGTTATATTGCTTTATACATAATATTGGTAATTACATTTTTTTTATGTAGTGGGTAAAATTGATTGCGCTTCACGAAGCATAATATAACTTTAATAATATTTCACATCGTTTATTAGATTATACAAAAATGAAACATTAATACTCTTTATACAAAAATTGATTAAATATTATAATGGTATAGACATAATATAGCAATCCAATGTTGACTCCCTGACGGGTACTTGACGTTAACTGAGATGCTATAATGAACATTTTAAGGTTTTATCCTCTTTYTCTTATATAATACCAATCAATTATGCAATAATATCTCATGACGTCATTATAGTCACGTGAAATCACGTTTATAACAAAGTTTGGAGACAAAACCCATATTTTATGGGGARAGTTTTGGTTTTTTTTTTGTAGACARTTTTGGAATAAAAATTAAAACCATATATATTTAATTTTGTAAAACGTTAACATGGTTTATATATTTATTTAAGTGCTAGTAAACCCACTGATTTTTATTATTGTGAACCATAGTGAACACGACTTTCAACATTTCCAGAGATAATTCTTAGTTAGGAACTATCTGAATCGTAAAGGTTTCGCATGCATAAAATGTGTTATGGATAGGAAAAAAAAATCGAAATATTTTTTCAAAAGCTGATTCCATTGTATCCGCTGTAATCAGAATCTGTATGCCGAAATATAGTTTTGTAGTTCGGATACAACGTATTTAACATAAAATACTGCATTACTAACAATTATTAACATATTCTAGCTTCTCAGAATTTAAAACGATAAAAAAATATACTACACAGAGAAATAAAAATATATTGATTAAATTAATTCTAGTATTCACACGAGTGAGAAGGTTTTTAAATGTCTTAAGCAAAAAATAATTATATATTGTAATAATAGACAATAGTTTTAAACGATGAACTCAAAATACGCGATTGTTTATTTATTAATATATTAGTAATTACAGTGCCCTTTGGATACAATAMGGCAATACATTTGAGGTTTAAGTATATACTAGGAAATGTTCATAGCGACATAAATAATAATAATACTAAAAAAGAGATAGGTGCCCAATTTAAAAATGAGTTAACAGTAAGGGTAATTATTCTTAAAACGAGTAATCCTATTGGTGATAGACGTATGCGTCTTAACTGTTCATTTTACATGCAATTGCTTTTGAATATCGGTGAGTATGATAGAACAATAGAACATAGATAGTAGAAATATTTGTTAATATAGTAATACCATTGTTTTTAAAATTAAATATAATTAATGAGTCAGAAAATAGAATCCAATAAGTATAGATTTCTTGTGAAAATTTAATGCATCGACTCAATATTACGATATGACAATAATATCCAACGCATATAACCAATAAAATTGTTTAAATTATTTTACTGTTTATTGCCTTTCTGAATTTCAATATAAATAGAACCTAGTTTCAATAAATTCTCAAATTAATTTGTAAGTATGTTAAACTGACAATTTAATACATGATATATGCATTAAACTTATGATTTATTAAACAAACAGCTTATTTGGATATTACCAAATGTAATTTGTTATAATTTTAGTGCTAGTAGAATCTACTAAATGTTTGTAGTATAACAATATTCTAATGGTGCAATATAATGTGTGCCTCATATCAATAAAGGTAACAAAAATCTAAGCTTAGCATAAGACACAATGTTGTCCTTTTTACGTGGATAATATTAAACATTTAAATATCACATAAAATAACTAATTTTATTCATTAGATTATAATGTAAAATTGTTCGCTATCTTTAAATTGCGTGTTTTTAACTCATTGAACAAGTGAAAATATATTTAGATAATTAAATTGAAGGTATTCAGTATACACGCTTTTAATATACTATATTTAATTTTGTGTCATCTCTAAAAGCTTGCTTTTATTCTTTTATATTTCAAAGGCATTAAAACTTTTTATTTTGAACTTTACACTTTAATATTTGTAATGCGATAAGTAATAATTTTGTATCACACTTGTTATCCAATTTAGTTTTTTATAACTTTGATGTTATTTTATATAATTTATATTTTTTCTAACCCAAGATATATTAAATATTATTAAACATTTAAAACAATTTGTAAAATACAATGCATACAATTAAAATTTTAACACATTATACCACATTGTGTTTCAACAACTAATGTTTTGAAAACTATTATTAATTTGGTTTTGAAAAAAATATGTATTGTTAATAATTACTTTAGATTTTTAGTATGACTAATATTTGAGTTCGTGTTGTGATATTACAATATTAAATTACGTGAAAATTTACAAATATCATATATTTCAAATACTAGGTACTAYGAACCAGTCATAATAACAGTKTATCCAGTTTAGGGGTGAATCTATAATAATATTATATTACTGGYACAGTCGTACTAAATATTCGTTATCTCGAACAGTATTAAAGTTTTTTGGTAATAACAATTATTTTCAAATGTTCAGTACTTATAAACACCAGGTTCAAAATTCTACATAGAACCATTTTTTGTCATTATAGTTATTCAGTATTGTTTTAAATAAAAGCATATATTATTTTCATATTTATAATCAGAATAATTTTCTGAAAATTTCAAAGTACAAAAATATTGAATATCTAAGGAGTAGTCATTATGCTATACATATTTAAAGTTAATGCGAGCAGAGTGAATGGTAGAATGTTGGTCGACTACTCTACTTGTATAAACTTTAAGCACGTGTAGCTAAATAACATTTACTACTTCCGTAGCACCTAAGCACCTAAGGTGATTAATTCTATTATTTTTCCCAATATTTCGCTAGGTAAATATATTTTTATATATTTTATATTTTATTATTACTAAGTAGTGTAACTAATAATRATTKTTATCTCGAATGGTTATGTAGTATAAATATGGTAAAGGGTAAGATACAGAAGTAGTTGTAATGCGTTTACATGACAATTATTATAATAAAAACTATAACATCGACATGTCTGTTGAGGGAAAAATGGAAGGGTCCTACGAATAATACACCATATCTTGTCAGGTTAATGCGTGCGGTCCGGATTTTTTTACCGTAATTAAATATCGGTTATTCAATAATAAAATCCAGATTACGATATATTTTACCACTTCCTACCTCATCCACCCGAATGAGGTAGTGGGATACTGTAATGACACTATTCTCCCATGTCGAATCTTTTATCACTATATGAATAATTTTTGGGGTAGATTTATGAGTTTATTATAATATTTTTTTCACACGATTTTCAGAAAAAATTTAAAAWTTATATATTGTAAGTTAATGACTTAATTTTTGACTATTCAAATAATGAAAAAAAAAAATAATAACAATAAAATACTGAGAGTTTATCGAGATAATGAGTGTACAATGATAAATAATTAATTGACAAACTGTAATATTGTCTGATTTATACTCATTTATAGTATAGGATAACATGGTATGAGAACTTATGGGCACGTATATGGTAAGCGAACATTGAGGACATAAAACAAATTGAACAATCATTAATATAGTGTTTTTTTTTCGCGAGAAATTCGCAGCAAACGTGACGCAATAAAACGACACTATAAAAGATTTGTAATACAATAAATAGACTTTTTCCTATAGGCTCATACTCACTATGTTGGTCGTATACGATCCGGAATGTGTCGGAGTGCAGGTGACCGCAAAACTGTCCGACAATGATGTGCGCATACCTCCGGATCATTTCTAAATATTTCGCACTGTAGACATCTTGGAACGTGGGCGCCTCGTCCTGGTCTCTTTCGTTGGCTCCCGGGCACATGTGGCTCACCAGGTACACCTGAAAGTTCAAAAAATGGAATGCGTTGATGGAACGACCTGAACCAATATATATACTTAGGATATATATTGCGGGAATGGGCGTGTGAGGTTTAATTTTTATCGYACACTACGGGAGATTTAATAACGGTCAAGATTCAAGATAGAGGGAAGCTCRAAATACGATGACGAAACTGCATAATATTAAAGATTTTTAAATTTATACCAAGGCCGAAATTCGTTTACGATTTTAGGCAGGTTTAGATGTTCTTTTACCGCGTGATAGCCAACGTGGTGGTATTTTWAAAATTTTTTTTTTATTTAATCTGTTACAAAAAAAGAACAATAAGAACTAGTATGGTGATATACACGCCAAATTGATGAAATTGCCATCGCTTTGAAACGCAATGAGAAAAGTTTAACGATATTTGATGGGCACTGAAAGCGTTTTCTCAAATAATTCAAACACGATTTTCATATAAAGACAACCATGCGAACGAAGTGACAATAAAAGTTCAAGAACAAACTTGCTCACAAGCTCGATATGAAAGTTAAGTTTGCATTTGTAACAAATTACATACACGATACATTTTATTTTAAATATGTTTAACAATCTAATAGTATACGTCTATACAGTCAGTTCGTCCTCGTTAAAAATAATGTACGTTTTATAGTGGTGCTGAATTATTATAGACTATGATTAATCGTTAGACATAAACAGTACACATTTACAAGGTGTATTTTTGTATAAATATGTAGTTTTAAATTTAAAATCGAAAAACGAGAACTAATAATATTATTGTATTATCAAATAACTGTTAAATTAATCAGAAAAATATCAATATAACGACTATAGTATCCGATTATACGTCATCTAAAAAAATTAATAATATATATTAAGTACCCACTCTAATAATTTGAAATTTAAATTTTTTGATAAAAAACAAATGCATGTATAAAGAGATTAAAATGACAAAATGATCCGTAGACGTCGATTGTGACACAACGACGTTAAGTTTCAATCTTGTATGTCATTTCAATAACACCAAAACACGAATTGCCAGAAAAATAAATAATCTTTTTTCGAAATTTTAATTAGCAAATAAAATATAATGAACCATTATACTATTTATATCCTCAAAATAATTAAAACTCAACATAAATTTTATTTAAAAATAATATTGTGGATATTATATTATAAACTGGCTGAACTATTAAGATAAACATTTTTTTTTTGACTTGACATTCAATAAAAATTGAGCTGCTTAATGTCTAAGTACTCACTGTTTCTTTGTTCATTACTGATTTCATTAAGATTTTTTCCAACCATTCGAGCTGTTCTATAGGGTTGACGACGTTCCGTTGTCTTTCTACTGTCGAAAATGCATTTGAGTTGAGCGCGATTATCCTAAGTTTATTTCCTTTTTGCTCAATCGTATAATAACCTCCTGTGAACAAATCAAATTTATTGATTAGACTGTGAATATAATATTATAGTATAAATATTTTATTCATCACTATCGTGATTCGTGGTATTTCGTTTTATTATGCACATAAATAAATTAGTATTGATTGAACCTGTTTTTAATATCCCAGATCATTACACTTTGATGGTATCAATACAATTATTTTTTTTTGCTCATAAAATATGATGTACTCGTATTGWTATATATTATAATGAGTAGTGAAGCAATGAAGAATATAGAAATTATTTATTGTGACCTACAAGTATTAAATTATAATGATATTAAATGTAATAATATTGTTTTGTTTTATGTTTGTTTTAATGTATGAGAGCAATTTAAATAAAATGTATAAATGTTTGCAATTTAAATTATTGTTTGCTTGTATTATTATAAYATAATGCCATATTTTGGAGTAGTAAAATAATTTCGTTGGTTAATTTTTAATCAGTTGCGTGTTTTTTGCAAAGTCAAATAATTAATATATTACTATTTACTTTCATGGTCAACAAACGAATTCTAAAATAATTATTTTTATCTATATAGATATTTCCGGGTTCCATTGAAATAAAATTATGGTATTTATATCATTATATGTGAATTATAAGTTCATTTTAGTCTTTGATCGTGTTTTTTTTTCACGTGGATACATTTATTTTATAGCTCATCAATTATACATGTTTAATTTTTTTAATCCAAAAATATTAAATTTTTTTTTTTTAAATAACTCACATTTTAAAGTCAATCTTTCGTTCACACGGTTTTGCAAGTACTATAATGTATTTAAAAATTGTTTTACGGAATTGTTAAGCCAGGAAATCATTATTATCTGAATATTTAGCCGCACGAGTGGTCTATACTGTTAAGGGGAAATTTTAATTCAGAAAATACATTTTCTGCAATAGATTTTTTGTACACATGAACGTTTTTGTGCGTGGCATAGTCGATTGTCAAACGTTGTGACCCGAATGAAGAAAACGTGATACGATCGTAATTTGATTATAATTTGCTATACTTTATTCGCAGACTTGTAACAAAAAATAAAACTAAAACGAAATCTTTAAGAAAATACGTGTTAGCAATCTACACTATAGGTACACGTTAGTTGGAAAAAACTCAAGAAGACACACCTCTAAATTTTGTTTGATGAATATTGTCACTGATAGCGTTATCTATGTATAATAATAATTAAAAAAACACTAAGAATATTTCAAATTATATAGAATTACGTAGGTATCACTTACATGTCTTTCAAAATACGAAAGTATACATATTTTATCAATATTTTTATTCGATGTATCAAATACGAACCATAACAATTATAACACAATTTTCCAGGTGAAATTATTGACAGTAGAACTATATGTCTATATCGGTTTATTATGCTTATATTAGTTCTTCAAAATTCAGTAAAAATATTTTAGATCAAAYCATAAGAAGCAAAGCGCTGTCCCACACAATTTTATATTATAAAAATTACGATACAGAAAACATTTTTTTTTTTAGATTTTATACTCTCTATAAGATAATAATATCATGATTTGATCGTACTAGGTCAACCGGAATTAATCATATAATATTGGGTGAAAGCAAAATTTTTTTCACGATTTTGGAGGTGCAATTTCAGAGCTGCAGTAATGTAAGTAGTGCATTTTATAACTGTCAATGAGAAAAAAAAGCTACATTGCCAAACGTTGTGTAATATTGAACAACGCAATGAGAGTCATAGTCTGACGATATTATTAAATGCCGTCGATTTAATGTATAATTTCTAGATGTACTAAAGACATCTGTGGAGTTTTATAATCGAACGAAGCACGTTTGGGTACATTACAATGTTTTTACCTGTAAATGTAGAACACGTTTGGGTACACAAACACATAGCACGTTTGGGCACATACACTAATCGCCAATAAGTTATTGCAAAATAGGCTTATTGAGATATGATATCTTTATAAGATATAGTTTATGAAACTAACTAAATGTTTCAACGTTTCAATGTTCAGTTCCGATTTGGATTTTCAATCGACAAGATTATTTTATTCTTTATAATTATGGACGTGAATATTTCCGAGGTTTTTGAAACCCGACGTGGGAAAAAGTGTGTTGTGATGAACAGTTATAAATTTAGCGAGTTTAGAGAAAACAAAGATAGGTACAACTAAAGTTTTTCGTTGCACGAATCGTAAATGTACTGTAATTGCTAAATTAACTGCCAATTTAAAAACGGTGATTTCAATAAATGGTGAACATAGTCATGATGAATTAGTTGAAGAAACCATCACTAAACAAACTGTGATGTCACTTTTAAAGCGCAAAGCAACTACTGATCTTAACGTGAAGCCAAATAAACGTATACGACAAGAACTACGTAATTGCCCAAAATAAGAGTACCTAAGTCATTCTGACGTCGGGTTATTCAGGAAAAGTATGTATGAAGCTAGACGAAAAATATTTCCAAAAATACCAAAATYTTTATTCGAAGCAAAAGCTATGATTTTTCAAAATAAAAAAGATTTCGTTTCAAATAATGAACCATTTTGTTTCATGGATTTGGAAGGTAGTGTACCTATTTTTACAAATGCTACTAACATGTATCTTTTAAATAGTTCAAAGCATGTTTTTGCTGATGGAAGTTTTTCGTATACACCAAAATATTTCCTTCAAATGTATACAATACGTCATGTATATTTGAATGGATTTTATGTGCCAATTATGTTTGTTTTTATGGACTCTAAAACACAAAAATCGTATACTGATGTTTGGTTGAAAATAAAAGAGTTATATTTTAAATTCCATGGACAACAATTGCAATTGAGAATTATACATTTAGACTTTGAAAAGCTGCTCACAACGCAGTATTGGAAGTTTTCGAAAATTGTCAAGTGGTAGGTTGTCATTTTCAYTTAAGTCAAGCCTGGTTTCGTCGTATTAAAAATGACAAAGAATTAAATAAGCACTATGCTGGAAAAATAGTTGTGTACCAGTTGCTTCAAAGTTTTTTCGKTCAAAGTTATTTACCTTCTAATGAGGTTAATKATGRTTTTGTATCTCTCATGRCCAATGCATCACTCAATGTTGAACATTTCACGGATTATATTTTAGACACGTTTATTGATGAAAATAGTTTATTCCCACCTCATTTTTGGGCAGGTGAGCCATCTATGGATCCTAGGACAACAAACRGACCTGAAGCTTTCCATAGAGATTTTAACAGTCAATTTTATACTTGYCATCCTAATTGTTTTGCAATAATAAATATTTTGTTAGAAGTTCAAGAAGAATCGTACCTAAATATAGGTAACACTAAACGAAATTTGCAAAAGAAAAAAAGAAAAGAAGACATGAATAATATTACATATGTATTAAATAAACTTGAGGAATACAAAGTCGATAAAGATGTTGCTAAATAATATTTATMCCTAATTGGTCCGATATTTACCGGTAAAAACATTATATAATTGTAATATATACAAAGAGTTAATAATAAATATAACGGTATAATATAATAAATAATAGTTAAAAAACTATGACAAGTAATTAAACATTATACTAAAATATTTTTGAGAGAATAWATAGAGCCAACCTCCTCGTGGTGTCTCCTGGATAACGCTAATASGCTCTAAAAATTTAAAATTAATKATTAATTATTAAAGTTTTATTTTTCAAGGTGTTTCTAAATRTTATATTAATAGCTATTTCCTATGTACCCAAACGTGTTATCTTTCTAGAGATATGGTGTACCCAAACGGTGTATTCATTTGTACCCAAACGTGTTGCGTTTAGGGTCTACTGTACCCAAACGTGTTACGKCCTTATAATCCTATGAATTCGTCGTTGACTATTATGATAATGATGACAACCATGATGGTGATTATAATATTATTCTGACTATTTGGGGCGACAAAATAAGTTTGGGCGGGGACACTTAGGTAGTGGGAGGTTGCCCTGTGGGAACACGTGAAACTTCCAGAGGAATATTATTACAATTACTATGCGTTGTTACGTTTTGACACGGGCGAGTACCATGTAAATTTCGACCRCCAGTTCAGTTCAGGAATTTCGGGTAGAAGAAAATGCGTGCTTATATTATATCCAAAGGACGAAATTCAATCAAGAAACGAAATAGAAATTTAACAATTACGATTGTCTCGGTGTASGCRGCGGGAGRGGTTGTCGAGTTWCGAGAAATCGGCGTCCGGTCTTATTGTCTTAWTATTATCATTATAAATTAATTTCCGTCAAAACGTCTTCTTATATATCTTCCATCCTCAAAATTGTATTATCAATTGGTAAAAATGTAAAATAAAAAATAAAATGTTGTCTCATCACTGTCGAATTCGTCAGAATAACATTATAATAATAATAAAAAAGATACCATCCAACTACAATAGTGATAACGATCACGATCAAAAAGAAATAAAGGTTGATCTACAATAATTATTTGAAACTAGATTCTTTAAACCATGTTAACCATAATATTGAAAACACGCGTTAGTATATTATTATTATTATTATTAACAATCCTATATTTTATAACTAGCGAAATTTGAGTCCATTGACCAAACTATAATTGAAGTATTTCGGTTAACAATGAAAGAAAAATAGTATTCCGTGGCTATATTATAAAAGTGTAGATAAGTGTGAAAGACAAATGTAGATCAACGATAACAGTAAAATTATACGATATTGGGACGATTCACATTTACTTGACTTGCTAACTAAAATTTATTTTAGCATGGATACCATTGCTGTATCACAACAATGAATTATGTTTTAAAATATAATTTATCTTATAAGTATCACGTATTTTTACAAATAAAGAAAATTACCTACCTAAAAAAATATATTCGTTATTATTATTTTTTACGTTACTAGGAATGGCAATGTTACCGCGTGATTTTTTAAAAATCCCCGAAATCTTCACGTACCCGAAAATTTCCGGAAATACCAAGCATAGTTACGATTATTATTCTGAAGAAAAA